CCCCCCCCCCCCCCCGTTTGTATGTTAAAAAAGGCCCTGATACTGGTCCTCTTATTATTTACGCTACACAATGTCTTAAGACATTATGTCTTTCTTACACCAGTACTTGTCCAATTACCTATTTTATACAAAAAAAGACAACAAAAATGACTGTATTCAATAGATTAATATTTAATCCATATGTAGTTTGCAACATGTGCCCAGCGTCTCCCATCCCAGGGCTTTTGGGGTGAAGACCCTGGCTATGTTGGTGAGCACTCTGTTCATTGTTAATAAACCTTGGTTGATGTTGCATTATCTCATTAGCTTGCAAACTATTTTTTCCTCTTCTCTATGTGTGCAAACAATTTATTTGCACTTTTTTGTCTTTGCAAACAATTTTTTTAAGAATTAAAAAGGGTTACTAGATAAATGCTTGAAGCAGGCATAGCTTATAATTACTTCCGGCACAGACTTTTTGCAAGAATATTGACCAATGAGGAATTTATCTGAAGTTTTCTAGGTCAATAAATAAATGCTTTTGACAATAGCATTACAGCAGGTGGTTTTAAAATTTTTCTCACCATCCACAAGCAAACAAATACCTGCTATGCAAGCTACCAGCTACACGGTCACTTGGTCAGGTGCGATTGAGGACTGGAAATTATGAATTATATACTAAATATTGCAAAATGTACTCGTTTATATCAATTCACCATTGAACAATACTAGTTTGATTTGATGCAAATGGATGTTTACAATATTCAGTAAAAATTTCATAATTTCCAGTCCTCAAGACCTGCATCATGTAGCCCAGTTAGTAGAGCGACAGAGCGTTGAGCTAGCATTAATTTTAAAGGTCGCAGATTAGACACCCTGCAGCCACCACAAATTAGCAGCAAAATACTGTATACTGATTTCTATGCATGATTATTTAAGTGTTTTCCTTTATCTACAAAATTGTAGGAGGAGTTTTATGGGCGAGAAGTTACATTGGCAGATCGTGAAACTGTTGAGCAAAATTCAGGTATCAATAAATCATTATTAATTTTTATTATTTATTTAAGAAATTCAGGGTTTCTGATTGGCGACCAGCCTTGATAATTCTTCATATCATTCTCAAATACATAAAATACATTTACGTAATTATTTACATATCCACCGGCAGTTTTGAATTATTCATTCTATACATCTAAACTTTGGATGGTTTCTGTTTGAACTTTGACTTTAGTAATTTGGATTGTTCTCGTTGCCACTAAATATCCTTCTAACAGGGTCTGCAGGGCTTTCCCTGATATTTTTGTATCAGCATGAGAGACATAATCCGACTCAGAGCAATCTTTTTGCATGGTTGATTTTTGCATGGTTGATTTTATTCTTTTTGCATCATGGTTGATTTTTCGCGTCACGGGTTCGTTTCACGAACGATGGCCCGAAAACCTTGCTATACGCCACAACAAACGTATTAAGAGCTCCTTATTTTTCTCAAGCGTTGTATGAGAAAAGACTCCACGTCGCTGTCAATACAACGAACTGTACGCAATGCTTCTACATAGTTGCAAAGATCGTCTTTACC